AATTCTAGTCCTGAAATTTGCAGGAAAATGGATGGAAATAGACGAAACAATTCTGAGTGAGGTAATCCAATCAAAAAGACAAATATGGTATGTACTCACTCATATGTGGATTTTAGACATAGGGTAAAATTACCAGCCTACAATCCACACTGCCAAAAAGCTAATAAACAAGGAGGACCCTAAGAGAAATATACATGGTCCCCTGGAGAAGGGGAAGGGTCAAGATCTGCTGAGCAAATTGGAAGAACGGGAAAAGGAGAGAGGGAGTTAGGAGAATGAGAAGGGGAGAAGAAGAAGGATGCAGAGGACATTAGGGAGCAGAAAGCTTGAGTCGGTGGAAGAATACATGATAACAGGAATGGAGATATCATAACAGAGGGAGACATTTTTGGTTTACAGAGAAATCAGGCACTAGGGAAATGTCTGGAGATCTACAAAGATGACACCAGCTAACAATCTAAGCAACAGAGGAGAGGCTACCTTGAATGCCCTCCCCTGATAATGAGATTGATGACTGACTTATATGCAATCCTATAGCCTTCATCCAGCAACTGGTGGAAGTAGAAGCAGACACCCACAACTGATCACTGAACTGAACTGGAACCCAGATGCAGAGAAGGATGAGTGAAGAGCACAGGGATCCAGACCAGGCTGGTGAAATCTCTGACCTGAACATCCAGGAACACTTGCTCCCTGGACTGATAGCTGGAATACCAGCATGGGACTGATCCAGACCCCAGGAACATGGGTTTCTGTGAGGAAACCTCAGAAATCTACGGGACCTCCTCTAGAAATTCAGTTCTTACCCTTAGCATAGGTGTGGACTTTGGGAGCCTATTCCATATAGAGGAATACTCCCTGAGCCAAGACACACAGGGGTGGGCCTAGGCCCTATTCCAAAGGATACAATAGACACTGATGACACCCTATGAAAGGCCTCACCATCCAGGGATAGCAGAAAGGATATGTGATAGATAGGGTATTAGCTGGGGGGAGTGAAGTAGGGGAGCACTCATGGGAGAAGGGAACTGGGATTGTCATGTAAAACAACCCTGTTTGTAATTCAAATAAAAAAAAGTTGGAAAAAAAGAAAAGAGATACCATAATAGAGGGAGCCATTATAGGTTTAAAGAGAATTCTGGCACTAGGGAAATGTCCAGAGATCTACAAGGATGACCCCCCAACTAACAATCTAAGCAATAGTGGAGAGGCTACCTCAAAAGCCTTTCCCCAATAATGAGATTGATGACTACCTTATATGCCATCCCAGAGCCTTCATCCAGTAGCTGATGGAAGCAGCAGCAGATACCCACAGCTCAACACTGAGCTGAACTCTGGAATCCGGGTGCAGAGAGGGAGGAGTGAAGAGCAAAGGGGTCAAGAGCAGGCTGGAGAAACCCACAGAAACAGCTGACCTAAACAAGGGGGAGCTCATGGACCCCAGACTGATAGGTGAGAAACCAGCATAGGACTGACCCAGACCCCCTGTACATGGGTGTCATTTAGGAGGCCTGGGCAATCTATGAGGCCACTGGCAGTGGATCACTATTTATCCCTAGTACAGTAATGGAATTTGGAAGCTCATTCCACATAGAGGGATATTCTCTCAGCCTAGACACACTGGGGAGGGCCTAGGCCCTCTTCCAAATGGCATGGCAGACTTTGAAGATCCCCATGGAAGACCTCATCGTCCCTGGGGAGCAGAAAGGGGCTGGGATAGGGTATTGGTGAGGGGCATGGGAGAAAGAGAGGGGGAGGGAACTGGGATTGACATGTAAAGCAAGCTTGTTTCTAATTTAAATTAAAAAAAAAGAAGTCAAGTTGGACCCCTTCCTCATGGCATGCAATGATGCAATCAGTGTATCAGATGCAACAATTAATTATTAACTGGTCATATGATGCCAAAGTGCTAATATACATAGTGTGTGTGTGTGTGTGTGTGTGTGTGTGTGTGTGTGTGTGTGTGTGTGTGTGTTATAACATATATTGTATCTTTGAGTGCTTGGTTTCTTTATTTTTATTATTTTAAGGTTGCATACAATGTAATAGGGTTCACCGTGACATTTCTATGCACATGTTCTCTTATACTTATTGCTCTTGTGCTGCTCCCCCCTAGTGCTCTCTCCACTGCCCTGCCTCTGCTCATTTCCATTCTCTCCCTAAGACAGTGACTTTTGTTTCTTGGTCATTTCATAGAAATGATTATAGAATCACAGATGAGAAGAGAAAGGCAGACATGGCTTGGACTTCATAAAACCTGAGAATGTTTGTGTTTCAAAGAATACCACCAAGAAAGTGGAGAGATAAACCAAAGTGGTAGAGCAAATACATATTTGCAAATCATAGATACGGGACTCATGCCCACTAGATGCTCTAGATGATGATTTGAAAAGCAAGTGTCTCAAGCCAGACAATGATGGTACATGCCTTTAATCCCAGCACCTGGGAGGCAGAGGCAGGTGGATCTCTGTAAGTTCGAGACCAATCTGGTCTGCAGAGCTAGTACCAGGACAGCAAGGCTATACATGCAAAGAAACCCTGTCTCAAAACACCAAATAAGCAAA